GGAAATGGGAAATCCTGGGAAATGGGAAATTTTGGGAAATGGGAAGTCCTGGGAAAGGGGAAATCGGGAATCCTGGGAAATGGAAAAACCACAGGAAACACAAAATCCTGAAAATGGGAAATCCTGGGAATCCCAGGGAAAACCCCAGCAGCACAGCTTCCCAAGGAAAGGATTTTCATGGAAAAATCCCAGATTTAGACACAAGGAGCAGGAATTCCATGGGATTCCTGAACCACCCAGGGGCCGGGAGCTTCCCTGAGAGATTCCCGCTTTTCCCAAGGATGAGATCACTCAAATCCAGGTTTTCCATGGGAAAAATCCCAAATTTAGGCACAAGGAGCAGGAATTCCACGAGATTCCCAAACCACCCCTTTTCCCCCTTCAGGGCTGGCCCCAAATCCAGGATTTCCATGGAAAAATCCCGGATTTAATCACAAGGAGCAGGAATTCCATGGGATTCCCAAACCATCCCGGAGCCAGGAGCTTCCCTGAGCCATTCCCGCTTTTCCCCAGGATGAGATCACTCAAATCCAGGTTTTCCATGGGAAAAATCCCAAATTTAGGCACAAGGAGAAGGAATTCCATGGGATTCCCAAATCACCCCTTTTCCCCCTTCAGGGCTGGCCCCAAATCCAGAATTTCCATGGAAAAATCCCGGATTTAATCACAAGGAGCAGGAATTCCACGGGATTCCCGACCCACCCAGGGGCCGTTCCCGCTTTTCCCCCTTCAGAGCTGGATCAGCCCAGTCCAGGTTCAGGTTTTCCATGGAAAAATCCCAGATTTAGGTACAGGGAGCAGGAATTGCACGGGATTCCCAAATCACCCCAGAGCCCGGGGTTTCCCTTTTCCTGAGGACCCCAATCCAGGTTTTCCATGGAAAAATCCCGGATTTAATCACAAGGAGCAGGAATTCCACGGGATTCCCAAACCACCTCGGGGCTGGGAGCTTCCCTGAGCCATTCCTGATTTTCCCCCTTCAGGGCTGGCCCCAAATCCAGGTTTTCCATGGAAAAATCCCGGATTTAATCACAAGGAGCAGGAATTCCATGGGATTCCCGAACCACCCCAGGGCCGTTCCCGCTTTTCCCCCTNACTACAATCAGAACTGGAATTAGGGCAGGAATTGGGGCTGGATTTGGGAATACAATTAGGAGTAGAATTAGAACTGGAATTGGGGCTGGATTTGGATCTGGAATTGCAGCTGTAATTCAGGCTGGAATCAGAACTGGAATTGGGGCTGGAATTAGAACTGGAATCAGAACTGGAATTGGGGCTGGAATTAGAACTGGAATCAGAACTGGAATTGGGACTGGAATTGGGGCTGAAATTGGGGCTGAAATTGGGGCTGAAATTAGAACTGGAATTGGGGCTGGAATTAGGGCTGGAATTAAGGCTGGAATCAGAACTGGAATTGGGGTTACATTTGGATCTGGAATTAGAACTGGAATCCGAGCTGGAATTAGAACTGGAATTAAAGATGGAATCGGGGCTGGAATTAGAACTGGAGTTAGAACAGGAATCAGGGCTGGAATTAGAACTGGAATTGGAACTGGGATTAGAACTGGAATTGGGGCTGGAATTAAGACTGGAATCAGGACTGGATTTGGAGCTGGAATTAGAATTGGAATCAGAACTGGAAATAGAACTGGAAGTAGAATTGGAATTGGGGCTGAATTTGGATCTGGAATTGGGGCTGGAATTAGGGCTGGAATCGGGGATGGATTTGGATCTGGAATTAGAACAGGAATCAGGGCTGGAATTAGGGATGGAATTGGGGCTGGAATCAGAGCTGGAATTAGAACTGGAGTTAGAACAGGAATCAGGGCTGGAATTAAGACTGGAATCAGGACTGGAATTGGGGCCGGATTTGGATCTGGAATTGGGGCTGGAATTACAACTGGAGTTAGAACAGGAATCAGGGCTGGAAATTTGGGCTGGAATTAGGGATGGAATTGGGACTGGGATTGGGGCTGGAATCAGAACTGGAATTAAAGATGGAATTGGGGCTGGAATTGGGGCTGGAATTGGGGCTGGAATTGGGGCTGGAATCAGAACTGGAATCGGAGCCGGAGCCGCCGCTCCCGATCCGTGCCGGGTTTTTTTGGGATGCATTCCCGTGGATTTGGGGTTTATGGGGTGTGAAGGGAATCCCATCCCACCCTCTGATCCTGGGGTGTGGGACAAGGCCGAGGAAACGAGATCCAGACCCTCGGGAATGCCGGGAATGCCGGGATGGGAACGGCTCCGGGGCTTGGGATCAACCCAGAATTTCCATTCCCACCCAAATCCCTTTGGGATCATCCCAGGGCTCCCATTCCCATCCCAAATCCTTTGGGATCATCCCAGGGCTCCCATTCCCATCCCAAATCCTTTGGGATCATCCCAGGGCTCCCATTCCCGCCCCAAATCCCTTTGGGATCATCCCAGAGCTCCCATTCCCGCCCCAAATCCCTTTGGGATCATCCCAGAATTTCCATTCCCATCCTAAATCCCTTTGGGATCATCCCAGGGCTCCCATTCCCACCCCAAATCCCTTTGGGATCATCCCAGAATTTCCATTCCCGTCCCAAATCCCTTTGGGNCCCTAAAATCCCTTCCAACCAAAACCATTCCAGGATTCCCTGGACAATCCCAGAATTATCCCAGGCCAGGCTGGAGCATCCCAGGATATCCGAACCATCCCTGCCCATCCCTAAATCCTGTCCATCCCAAACCACAATCCCTAAAATCCCTAAATCCCAAACCATTCCAGGATTCCCTGGACACCCCCGGAATTATCCCAGGCCAGGCTGGAATATCCCAGGATATCCGAACAATCCCTGCCCATCCCTAAATCCCGTCCATCCCAAACCATTCCAGGATTCCATGGACAATCCCAGAATTATCCCAGGCCAGGCTGGAGCAGTCTGGGATAGCGGAGCCCTCAGCGCCCATGGAATGGGACAATCCCTAAATCCTGTCCATCCCAAAGCTTCCAGGAGTCCCCG